TCCATTCCTCTATCCCGTCTGGACATTAAAGCTCATGGATTTGCAACCAACCTGCCACAGAGATTGTATTCTAGGTACTTATAAGAGGCTATCACTTCAAACTTACTGGTGCTTATTAAAAGCTCAGCTGCGAAAATGAGACCTTTATAGAAAAAATACTGCTTGAGAAACGATACAGACTCCATTCATCTGTGTTTTTTGGATACCTAAATCTTTTTTACAGATATAATACACGCTCAGTGAAAACATAATATAAAAAATATATATATGCAAAGTAAAAACAACTTGTAATCCAGACCCATAGATGGCCACCATGTTAATGGTGGCTAAATCTTTTTCTGTGCATTCCTAAACATATGTATGGAACTACAAATCTAATAATGCTATTTCACAAATTATTTTCATATAACATGTAGTGAGTATCTCTTCATGTCAATACATACACATTAATACCATAATGTTAATGACTGCCTACTATTCTTCCGTCACAAATACCATAAATTTAACAAAAATTATAACTTATTTAACCATCTCTCTTACTGATCTAAATTTAGGTTATTTTATCTCCCTAAAATTTTTGCCATTATAAACAATGTTGAAATAAATATCTTGCACACACATCTTCGTGGACTTGTCATTTTTTCCTTAAGATAAATACTTAGGAGTAAAATAATGGTTTTAAAGACTTTTGACAGACATTATCAAGTTGTCCTCAATAAACACTTAAAAAACTGAGATCAAAAAGTAGTTGCATAGGCAATAACATACTATATGAAAACTTAAGAAGCAACCAAAAGTGTTTATAATACAACAATCTATCTGAAAATTATAACAAATGACAAATTTTGAAGTCAAAGAAAAAATTCCTTAAGATAAAAATTATACCCATTTTTCAACAATAACAGCTTTATGTAAATCACACACAACATAATCACAAATGTAAATATGGGAATATTTGTGTCATAAATACAGACAACCTGAAAGTGAAGGATCATAAAAACAAGTAATTCTAAAAAATGAATCTTCAGCACTGGTTATGCCAAGTTACTTGCTATTCCCATGCTAAACTTCTCCATCTAGCTTACACTAGAAGGGGCGCTTTCTCTACTTTCCTTTGCTTATGGAGACAGAACACATGATAGAGAAAAGAAATGTGGTATTCTAGGTTCAAACTATCTCCAAACACATTTTTTTACACTTAAAATTTGAGTAACTTTGGAGAAATCACTTTCACTTCAAACCACCTCATTTTTAAGAAAATTATATAATAACTAGTCAGCTCAAAAGCCACCTATTCCATAAAGCTTTCACTGACTTCTCTGACCCACCACTAACCCTTTACATATCAGAAGTTTTACAACATTTTTGGTTATATATGAAATTGCATTAATTAACTGATCTGTGTACATTTATTTATCCAGGTGGTACACATATTCTTAGGGTGTCTGATACGGTTAAATGAGTTTATGCTTTGTGAAATGGGTTAAAAATGGAGAAATACATTCATATAGAGTGGATTCATCACTTCAGTACAGTTAACAGTCACAGGGTTGTTGTAATTATTAAATGATACAAACTAGGCCAAATAGTACTCAGCAAATATGCTATCACTGTTTATAAAAGGGTGTCTCACTTGTATTTCACAGCATTCTACAAACACTAAATCCTAGAGATTACATTCTCACACTACTTTTTTTTTGCATTATTGGACTACTAAAAATAATAGCTTACATCTGTGCTATTAAATATTAACCATCATTTAATTTGAATTGCTCCATTCAATTCATACCTCAAAGAACAGGATGACTTTAGGACTCTCATCAGAGTCTCGAAGCAAATAGGGAAAATTTTCATTAAATATAATTTGTTCTTCCCACTCTGGAAGTCTTGATTTTAACTGTTTAAAATCATATGGCTGGGTCATAATAGGAAGAATATAATCCACATTCTCTTTTTCATAGTAAGATGAAACAGGCCGTTCACTGTACAAAAAAAAGATACTTCCATTAATGCAATTTTTATAATTTTGAGGTGAGAAAAAAATACATAGTGTATAAGGTGAGGCAACCAGAAACAATGAATTGCCACAATAATACAAAAGGAAAGATTATTTTGATTGTCTATCTAGAAACTTACAAATTTTGTAAGACTTAAAAAAGTAACAGTCCATCTTACATTTGTGTACTATCAATCAGTTTCACGTGATTATTTTATTATAGAAATATAAAGTGAGAAGTATGATTATACCTTTGCCATACAACGCTGGGATAAACTCCTTCAGAATTTTATAAGAGTTTATAATAAAATAGACATTGCCAGGCACAGTGGCTCACGCCTGTAACCCCAGCACTTTGAGAGGTTGAGGCAGGTGGACTGCTTGAGCTAAGGAGTTCGGGACCAGCCTGGGTAACATGGTGAAACCTCGTTTCTACAAAAAATAGAAAAGAAGCTAGCTGGGCATGGTGGCACATGTCTGCAGTCCCAGCTACTTGGGAATCTGAGGTGGGAGGATCACCTGAGCCCAGGGAGGTTGAGGCTGTAGTAAGTTGTGATTGTGCCACTGCACTCCAGCCGGTGAGAGAGAGAGAGAGAGATCTTGTCTTAAAAAAAAAAAAGACATAAAATTGATTTTACATTAAGAAAAGGCACAAGACTATAAACCCCTTGAGCTGTCATATTTTCTTTGCATGCCCTAAGGCAAATGAATAAGTGAATGGGTTTTTTTTTTTGGACAATCTTCCTGTTTCCATTCCCCACTGGCTTTCCAAACAATTTTTTTTTTTTAATTCTAGTATAAACATGTATTTCATTGTACTTTTCATTTGGGATTTCATAACTAAGCATGCATTAGCTATAGAAGTAATCTTAGAAAAAACATTAAAGATTCATCTACCTTACTTGAGGCCCAAGTAACATTACTTTCAAAAGAAAAATATAAGGTTGGACAATTAAAGCATTTACAAATGCAATATAAAATATTTACAATGCAATTTTATGTCATAAATTATGTCTAGTAAGCTGGTAGAAGCTCTCTACCACTTAAAATGAATTATTCCCTTCCACTTAAAAGTAATCACTGAGCCAGGTGTGGTGGCTCATGCCTGTAATCCCAGCACTTTGGGAGGCTGAGGCAGGCAGATTGCCTGAGGTCAGGAGTTCGAGATCAGCCTGGCCAAACCCCGCCTCCACTAAAAATACAAAAATTAGCCAGGTGTGGTGGCGGGCACCTGTAATCCCAGCTACTCAGGAGGCTGAAGCAAGAGAATTGCTTGAACCTGGGAGGCTGAGGTTGCAGTGAGCCAAGATTGCACCACTGCATTCCAGTCTAGGTAACAAAGCAAGACTCCATCCCCT